TTGTTTCTGATCCTATGTATAGATAATTATATAAAAATTTCAAAATTCTAAAATTTCAAATACATATAAAGACAATCATATGTAAATTTTAAATTTGTCAGTATATTCACATATGTAAATTTTAAATTTGTCAGTATATTCACCCTGCGCAAGGCGCAAGTCTTATCCTAGTGCTAGATTAAGTAGTGGTCAGATCAACTGATTTTCTGAGGAGTACCTCCATCTGGCCGAGTCTGATCTGTATAGGAAAAGATGTAACCTTTGGTTTGGGCTTCTTTTGCTAACGCATCCGCTCAACTATTCATATTCCGAGGAATATGAGACACACTCACATCCTCGAAATCCTCCTGTAATCTCTGGAACACCTTGATCTCTGTCGTGAAAATCAGCCAATCCACCGGAGTGATAGTCATATCCACTAGGTCCGACCAGTCCGTCTCAAACCGTATCGAATTTATCCTCATATCTCTCATACATGAAGCTGCCCAAAGAAAACCTTCCATCTCAACATTCAAAACTGAGAGGTTCCTTCTACATGTTCGTAATCCGAAGAAGTCAGAACCCATTTGATCCTTAAGACTCCACTCTAAACCATTGACACTGGCATTATCGATCCGTGACGCATCAATTTAACAGGTAGGGATTCGGGGTATCCAAGGGGGAACTGTCTCGATCTCTGTAGTAGGAGGGTCGTCATGATTCTCGTTTTTTCCTCTTTCTCATTAGCCTTCCTCCAACATTCTGCCTCAAGAGACGCGTGTTGGAGAGTGTCAATCAGGGATATGACTTTCCCATTAAAGAGTTTGTCGTTTCTCGCATTCCAAATGTACCAACAGATCCATGGGAAGGTATCGAACTGTGGTCTCAATGGAGCCACCTCTTTTCTTTCCCAAAATAAAAAGTTCATGTTTTGGTATATAGATGTACTCGGGAAGTCACCCGGAAGGGACAAATAGTCCGATAAAGCCCAAATCTTAAAGACTGGGGGGCATTCAAAAAGAAGGTGATTAATCGATTCCATTGGGCCAGCACATCTAGGACAACTCTTATCGGTGCCCAGGTATTTATAAGTGAGTTTATCTGCCGTCGTCACCCATCCTGAGATAGACTGCCACAAATAATATATTTCATATTACTTGGGGCCTTTATCTTCGGCACCTGACTCTGAAGCCTTGTGATACTTAGTTAAAATTTTCTTCCTGTGCAAGACTCCTCTTGTTTGATTAGAGTAGGCCATAACCGGTTTTAACTGTATACACTACTAATTTTGTGTGGTTCCAAACATATCCATGAGGAATAAGAGAGCGAGAAGGTGTTATCCCAAATATCAAAGATATATCATCTGGGTGAAAATATTCTCGTAGAAGCTGTATATCCCACTCTTTGGTATCATCCCTTATACATTATTTGTGAAGTGATTTTGTCACATGTCCTCTCTAGAATCAGTTTCACAAAAAATGGTGACATGTCTACTAGAATTGATGATATGGCATATGATTAAATATGACATGGACAATTGCATTTAATGTTAATATATATTTTTGGAAAACTTTATAGAATATGGTAACAACTCATATATTACATTCAATGTCATTTATATTTTTGGAAATATTTTTAAAATATAGTAATAACTAATAAATCATCATTAAAATAAATATATACTAGTATGGCATCAAAAATTTCGAAAATATCATTTAATTATATATTTTAAAACTATACAATTTTATTACAAAAATTTCAAGAATGTATACATTTTTGAAAATTATTAAAATTTAATCGTAAAATTATTAATTTCTTATATATTTAAAATAAACAAAAATTTTTTATATTACTTTTTATGTTTGATTAAAGAAAAATTTGTATTAAAATAGTGATAAGAAAAAGACTCATAAATTATCATTAAGATAATAAATAATATAATAGTAGAAATATAAATATAATAATATTACAAATGTTGAAATATTTTTAACTGTATTTTATAATTATATATATTTTTATTAATAGTTTTTTTTTAAATTTTATGAAGTTTTTTTTAAATTAAAATTTTCTAATCCCAATACCATTAGCTTTATTTATAACATCTATAAATTATAGAAATATTATTTAGTTTTATATTTTGATAACTATATATCTAACAAAATTTTCTCTTAATAGTATAGAATCTGATTTAATATAATTTAACCAAAAGATAAAAGATACATATATATTATTAAATATAAATTAAAGAAATCTTTTTTAAAAATAGACCTAAAAAAAAGTTTTAATCACAAATATAGACCTTAAAATAAAAATGACCAAGATAGACTTAAATGTTTTATCAAAAATAAGTAAATATACACTTATATCATTTGGGTTAACTAATCGTAAACCTTTTTGTTTAAAGTTGAGTAGTGGGGTTTTGGGGATAGGATTACAAATTTTTTTTTAAAAAAATGAAATTTTCAAAATAAAAAATGATGTTTTGGTCATTTTAGTTTTAAGATATATTTTTGTGAAAAACCTAAAAAAGTTCTATTTGAGAGAACTGTCCTATATTTAAATAAAAGTGTTTATTTTCTCTTAATATTTACATATAATTAACGTAAAATTAATAATGTAATAAAATAAATTTAAAAATTATTTAAATTTTATTTTTAAACATAATTTTATTTTTGAAATTTTTATTTCTGCACATGGTGTAGGAAACCACCTAGTTATTAATAAAAGACTGAACAAGAAGTTGGAGGAGTCTGTAAACAATGTGATCTGTAGGTCTAGGTAGTCGAGCCACTAAGTTTCGGCATAATTAAGCTCTACTTTTTATTTGATCATAATAAGTACCAGACTTTTTCAAACAATCTAATTAAATCCTAAATTTTCTATTGTTGGCTAAAAAGTGTTTCTGTTAAAATCAGTCATGACACGTCACCTTTTCTTTTTAACGGCGTTTTCTTGTCGTCTCTATTAACGGAAGTCCGAACAAGTCACCATTGTGCATCTGCTGATCTTGTACATGAGTTACAGAGTTTTCATATGATTTTGGGACTAAAAAAAATGTTCTCAAACACATGACAAGGCCAAGAACACGGCCACACACGGTTTACAGTAGTTCATGAGACGACCATTTCCATAGACAAAGCTGTATGCCTGATAGTTGTGAAATATTCTTTTTTTTTTTTATTAAGATGACTTTAATACCGTACGATCTACTCTTAACTTAAGGGATCACATAACCTAAAATCAAAGATAAATTTTTTCTGAAAATCTAACAAAAGCGAAATCATTAATTCTCAAAACAAAAACAAAACCAACAGAAGTCTCACATATGCAAAACTAGTCTAGGGCTCAACCCGGAGAGCCACAGCCGGAAATGTGTTGAGGATCACCACACGATTCTCTGTTGAAGTTCTCCAAACAGTCCTGATGTTTTCTTCCGCACTTCCTTGGTATGGTCCATATTTATATAACAAGGTCACATTTTCTGGCCAATTGGTGAACACAATCGAGTTCCCACTCAAACCACACCCATCAGGAAGCTCCTTAGCCGAGCAAGAGACATTTCCCACACGTGCAATAAACAAAACACGGTCTCCCAAATCACTGACCCTGACCCATTTACCAGCCCCCTCATCTAGCCTACTAACGTTACATGTAAACCGGTTAAAATCGAGTTCTCCAGACTCTTGGACCAATACCTCAACCAGGAAAAGCTCATCATCGTCAGATGGAACCAGAAAGTTTAAAGCTCTTTCTGGTAAGGGCATCAAGTCAGTCACCTCCAGCGAATGAGGATCGATAACAACGGTTTTTCGGGAAAGAAACGCTGCGTAAAATCGACCTCTAAAGGTAACAACATTCGAGCATAAAATCTCTGAGAGATTCTCAAACCGTTTCCACTTCATTTCCTCACTTGTTAACACCATTAGCTTTCCGTAAGAGTAGTTGAGAAGCACAACGAACTCTCCTTCCTTGTAGAGTGGAAGAAACGCAACGCCTCGGTAATCTTTAAGTTGCCAACCAAAGATTCTGTACTGATGGCCGAGAGGGAAGATCTGACAATCATTCATCTTCATCAAGGTTGGATCAGATCCTTCAATCTTCACTGAGCACTGAATAGGACATGGAAGCTTCTCTAACTCATCTCTTCCTATCCCTCCAAAGAAATACTTGGAAGGAGGTGATCCAGCAGCAAGAGTTCGGACTCTGAAGAGGAAATAAGGGACCTTCGTGAGGGTGTACGAGCCTCCTTCTTCGTTGGTCTCGAGAGAGACCTTATCGAAAGTAGGGAGAGAGTAGTTTGGGCGTAAAAGGCAAGAAGGGAAGGGAAACGTGGATCGCCACGAGGTGCAAACAGAGCGAGCATGAACAAGATCGAAACAGTCTTCCACAATCTCGGAGATAGTTTCAAGAAGCTCTTTAGGGAGCTGAGACCAGTCTGGTAATAACGGTGATGATTTCTTCTTTTTAGTGGTAGGTTCTTCCATTTTTGATAATGGAAACATACTTTTATTTCCGGAACCTGAACCCTAAACCCTAGAGAGAAGCCTAAAACAAGAGAGAGGAGAAAGATGTGTAAACACTTTTAAAAGTGTAATGGATGCTCTTCGTACGGTAACGACTTCTCTGAGTTCTCTGCGGCAACGGTCAAATTTTGAAAACCAACGAAGAATGGAGGATGAGATTTGGTTGACCGAGTTAATTGTTTCTTTAGTTTGTGAACGATTCTAGTGGGAAGGAAATATCCTAATTTCTATAGATTTTAGGGATCATTGCAACGGTTGAGATTGGTTAACTTTTCACAAACGTAATTCCTTTTCAAAAAAAAAGAAAACTTTCAGAAACTAATTAATTAGTGAATTTTGCTAACAAGGAAAACCTTCTTTTTTAAAAAAAAATCTTAAGTGCAAGTTTTATCGATTTTGGAAAGAGATATTGCATAGTATATCAGAGAAAAATGTTGCCCTTCTTTGTTACAAAGAAAAATACTAATAATAATAATAAAAACGATGTTGTCATTGCAGTTAGGCCAAGGAGATCAGACCTAATCTCTTATCCTTCATCATGTCGAATGTAAAGTGTACACTCCTTCCGGCTTGTGGCCATGAACAGTGGCTAGCATCTGCTGAAGATCTAGTATAAGAAGAAAGTTGGTCAGACACACGACTGTGATATCGAGAGAATAGACAGATAAATGTGTTCCTAGTATGAACTAAATTGTATTCAAAACTAGAATACTAAGTTATCTACCTTTCACCATATCACAAACTCTTTACCTAAAATAATAACGAAAATTCAGAACTGAACCTTTTTTTTTTTTTTTAACATTTTAAGAAGTGAACCTAATAAAATTAATAATTAATAGATGTCTCAAGAATCAGAAGACCTACCGTTCAACCCGGAAAGCCTCTACCGGAGACCTGCTGAGGATAGTCACACAATCCTTTCTTGAATATCTCCAACAGTTGTGCTCTTCTTCATATTTGTAGGAGCATGTTACATTGCTTGGCCCATAAGTAAAAAAAATTGAGTTCACACTCACACCACAACCATCAGGAAGCTCTTCAGCCGAGAATGAGACATTTCCCAAGTCTCCAATAACCAACACACGGTCTCCTATATCGCTGACCACTACCCATTGACCAGCGTCAACATCTAGCCTACACACTCTTAATGTTAACTGACTCATAACGTCTAACACATCAGCATTAAAAGAGGATTAGCTCAAAGCGTACCAGGGGATACAGTTCTAGGAAATGAGGAGCGAAACCAAAAACGTCACCGTTACCAAAGAGTGCGTAAAACCTGCCTCTAAAAGTGACTAAATCGTCGCACGTACCTGTTGAGAGTGTCTGAAACCGCCTCCACCTCATTTCATTACTTCTTAACACCATCAAAACACTAGAGCAGTTGAGGAGAACAACAAAACCTCCTCCTCCTTCTTCTTCTTGGTTAAGGGGAAGAACAGCCACGCCTCTGTATTTTTTAGCATTGCAACCAATCATTCGGTACTGATGGCGAAGAGGGATGATCTGGCAGTCGAGAATGTTCATCAACCTTGGATCAGATCCTGGAATCTCTACTTTCACTGAGTATTGGTTTGGAGATGGAAGCTCCTCTGGCTTCTCATCTCGCCTTATCTCTCCCAAGAAGAAGTCAGAAGCAAGAGCTCGGTTTCTAAAGAGGAACAAAGGGATCTTCTCGAGGCTCCACGTTGAAGATTGAAGAAAACAGAGTACAGAAATGAACAACATCGAAACAGTCCTCCAGCTTCTTGGAGATAATGTTCAGTGGCTCTTCATGAAGAGTTATCGCTGGAAATTGATATAAGGTAAGAAAATAATTGGCAGTGATTTTTAAGAAAATGAAGATGGTGCTAAATTAAGATTTATAGTACATGTTAATATATTGATCTAAGAGGTATGTGTGCTTAAAAAAATATCAATTAAAAATTGTAAATTAAAGAAGTTAATACACTGATCTAAAAGGTGTGTATATTTAAAAGATACCAATTAAGAGTTGCAAAAAAGGCGGTTACGAACTGAAGTTCTCTTTTGTAACCTTCATTTTTTATGACAAAAGACAATTAATTTTAGGGTTTATGATTACTTGATTAGACTGGTTATTTGTATCACAAGAAAAAGAGAATTAAGGCCCTAACCTTATCATAACTGCACGTACTCCATCTCACCAACCGATATGAAACGTCAATAGCTTAGCATCGATGGCTCTCTGACAAGGCGACAACATGAGTCAACAACGGTTACCAAGTGATCACGCCGGTACAGATTTACTATCAGTGTGGTGAGGAACATGGCGGCTCCGACTTGAACGCCTTCTCTCCCTCTCGGCTCATGCTCTCCATCTCACTGAACCGATAGGTAACACCAACGCAATGGACGTGATGGCACCTAACGAGTCTGTGATATCATGGGCTGCTCCTCCGGCGATAAAACATGGCCCCGGTGGTGCAGAGGGTGATTGGTCTCACCGCCACGTCTCGTCTTGTCTTCCTGGATACACATACGCATAAGAGGAGAATGAAGTGCAAAAAAGGTTTATTCTATTAATAAATTTGTGAAAAGAAACGACGGTTCTGCATATTCTCTAAGCGTTGCCTTTGAAGATGTACGAGTTGGTGGATTGAAGACGCTAATACTGTTAAATAAAAACAAAAAGTTTCCTATTATAAAATGTATTTGTTTGAAGAGTCATAATTTTTTAATTAGTTTAAAAATATTTTTCTAAAAATTTAGTAGCTGCCTCTATTTTATTTGGTTGTGTTTCATCCTAAAAATTGCATTAATTAAGAATTTATCAATTATATATGTCTCTACATCATTAAGAATTGTATTTTTTAATTAATTAATTTAAAAATAGTGAATGCAGTTATAAATGAGAAGGTACCATAAACAATTATGAATAAAGTTATAATGAAAAGACACACCGTTCGAATTAATTATGATTACTATTATTAATAGAGTTTCTTAAGAAAATGAATGCATTTATAACGAAAAGGTACCATGAACAATTACGAAAAAAAATATAATAAACAGTTATGAATAAAACCATAATGAAAAGGCACATATGTTTGATTATTGAATAAACACATTCTTTCAAATCAACTAACTTTTAAACGGTCACATTGTTTTAAAACCAACTTAAAACTTTAAAAATTGAAAACAGCATTACTCTTACAATATATATATATATATATATATCTATCTTTGAATAAACACATTCTTTCAAATTAACTAACTTTTGAACGGATACATTGTTTCAAAACTATTAAAATATTAAAAATTATTAATAGACACATTCTTTCAAAATAACTAACTTTTTAATGGATACATTGTTTCAAAACAAAGTTAAAATATTAAAAAGTTACAACCTTTCAATATAATGAAGATTCACAACTATTGGAATTAAGAGGATTGCTATTATTAGTAGATACAGTCTGGAAAATAGGCAATAAAATCTCGTTGTTTAATGTATGTCCGTTTAAAATCTCTTCAGTCAAAACCTGTTTAAAAGAAAACATGCTAACGTATGTCTATTTAAACTCTATTTAAAGCACATTAAATTTTATTTTATTTCTTTAATAATTGTTTTTAAATGGGAGTATTTATGAACTCTGATTAATATATTATGCAAATTATAATTAAAATTAGTTTTATTTATTTCTTATAGAACAAAATTACATTAAAATTGAAAATTGTAGTTTTTGAATCAAAATTTTTAATTACAAATAACAATTGAAAACCCTCAAACTTACATGCATAAGCTTCAGTTTTGATTTTTAAAAGTATTATCAATGTTGAACTCGGGCCTTGCCACTATTTAAAACAGACATATCAACCACTAGACTAAAGCAATTTTTTAAATAATACTACAAATTTGCAATTATATATGCTTTTATACTTTTTCATCTTCTCTAATTAAAACTTTGGTTATTAATATTTTTGATTCTTATTAATATATTAACATATTTAATACTTATAAACACTAAAATATTTATAATTATACAAATTAAGTATATTTCATGTTTTGAAACTATTTACAAAATGTCCATATATAAATTATTTTAAAACTTGAATGTTAATTTCTTTTGTTTCTTAAAATTAATATAAGCTGAATATACTTTACCAAAATAAAATAAATTACCATTAAGTTTTATTTTTAAAATAATTTATATATGGACATTTCGTAAATAGTTGAAAAACATGAAATATATTTAATTTTGTATGATTATAAATATTTTATTATTTATATTTTAGTATAATATAAGTTTATTGAAGATATAATAATTACAAAATATGTTAATATATTTATAAGAATCAAAAATAATAATAACAAAAGTTTTAATTAGAGAAGATTAAAAAGTATAGTAGCATATATAATTGCAAATTTGTAGTATTTTATAAAAAATTTTCTTTAGTCTAGTGGTTGATGTGTATGTTTTAAATAGTGACAAAGCCCGGGTTCGAGTCCCAGAATGTTCATTTTTTAATAATATAATCAAAACGACGTCGTTTTATCATTTTAACGGTTGACTAACTTCTATTACGGTCAATGTAGGTTTAGGCACGTTATAAAAGTTCAGGTAGTATTTTTGCATTATAACGTAGTTCAGGTCGTATTTGGCATTGGATGTTTGTTCGGGTTGTATTTGGCACGATTGAAATTGTTTGGGTAGGAATAAGCCTTTTTCCCGATGTCGTTTTATCATTTTAACGGTTGACTAACTTCTGTTACGGTCAATGTAGGTTTAGGCACGTTTTAAAAAGTTCAGGTAGTATTTTTGCATTATAACGTAGTTCAGATCGTATTTGACACTGGATGTTTGTTCGGGTTGTATTTGGCACGATTGAAATTGTTTGGGTAGGAATAAACCTTTTTCCCATTAATTAAAATTATTTTTGTGACTTTTAGTTTGAGGTGTTACTTTTGATAAGAAAATTTAAAAGAGCTATTAAAAGTTAATTTTGTAACTTTTAGTTTGAAGTGCTACTCTTGATATGAAAATTTAAAAGAGCTATTTAGGAGAATTACCCTTTAAACAATCCTAAGAATGAATTATATATATGAAAGGTATACTACAAATTCTAAGAAATAATTAAGCACAAAACTACAGGTCCACAATAACCAAAGTCTTGCCAAAAGCAAAGAAACATTTCTACAACTATAAACCAAAAGAAAAACTAACAACTGAATCAAGTCCATGCGTGACTTGACATTCTTATAGAACATAATATAACATGACTTGAGCGTCTTCACCAACATTGAAATACATGAAAACAAGGCAAGAAAACCTAGAGAGAACAACTTAACATAGAAGTCTAGAACGGATGGTAATGTTGTCCTTGCCTTTGAGCCACATATCAATATTAGCCCCCATGTCCTTCATGTTCGGTTCATAGCTTCGCTAGTAAGGATTAAACACACCGCTCTCGACCCGTAGAGCCACCACAGGAGAAGTGCTGAGGATAGTCACCAGACTATCTCCTGAATACCTCCAACAGTTGAGGTCGTCTTCCTCGCGTCCTGTATGCACTCCATATTTGTAGAAGTATGTTTCATTCCATGGCTTATGAGTATACAAAACTGAGTTCCCACTCACACCACAACCATCAGGAAACTCTTTAGCCGAGCATGAGACATTCCCCAAGTCTCCGATGATAAACACACGGTCTCCTATATGGGTGACCACCACCCATTGACCAGCCTCCACATCTAGCCTACACACTCTTAGCGTTAATCGACTGAAGTATAACACCTCGTCGTTACGAGGGATGATTTTCTCAACCAGGAAAAGTTCATCATCACCACATTGAACCAGATCATTGCATGAACCACAGTTTACTAGCTCCAGGGGCTTGAGAGGAGTCAGTTCCAGGAAATGAGGATCGAAAGCGAAAACGTCACCGTTTATAAAGATTGCATAAAATTTGCCTCTAAAAGTGAATAAAGCCTCGCACGTAGCTGTTGTGAGTGCCTCAAGCCGCCTCCACCTCATTTCAAAACTTCTAAACACTAACAGAACTTTAGTGAAGTTAAGTAGAACAACATAATCTCTTCCTCCTTCTTCTTGGTTAAGCGGAAGAAGAGCCACGTTTCTGTATTCTTTAGCATTGCAACCGATCATTCTGTACTGATGACCAAGAGGGATGATCTGGCAGTCGAGCAGGTTCATCAACCTTGGATCAGAATCTGGAATCTCCACTTTCACTGAGCATTGGATAGGAGATGGAAGCTCCTCCTCCTCTTCTGGCTCATCTCGCCTTATCCCTCCCAAGAAGAAGTCAGAAGCAAGAGCTCGGTTTCTAAAGAGGAACAAAGGGATCTTCTCGAGGCTCCACGTGCCTTTGTTATCGAGCGTGGGAAGAGAGTAACGTGTGCGTGATAGGTAAGAAGGAAAGGGAAAGATTGATCGCCACAAGGTGCAAACGGAGCGAGCATGAAGAGCATCGAAACAATCATCCAGCTTCTTGGATATAATGTGAAGTAGCTCCTCGGGGAGAAGAGACCAGTCCGGTACGGACACTGACGGAGACAACAGAGACAGCTTTGAAACCTGAAAAGAGAATTAATTTCTTTTCAGCAATAAAAACAACAATAACAAGAATCTGTCAAAATTTAGTAGAAAAGAGTTGTTGTTTACACTATCTGATAGAAGAGACGCGTCTGACATCACTGATGGCGTCGCAGGTTCTGTTATTTTTGCTGATTGTTTCGATTTCGGAACCTGAACAAAGAAAAATTAAGCAGCATCTTGGGTCTACGGAAACATGCAGAGAAAATCCTAATCGCACAACTGTCTGGAACTGAAACAGGGAATCAAATTGAATTCCAGAACATTTATTTTTGTTTTTATTGCAAGTTACCAAATAAAAAGGGGAGAAAGAGTCAGTTAGTCAAACCATGGTTGGTGGTGTCTTCTTTCTCGGTGCCATTTGAAATCCGTAAGAAATTTTAAGTTTTTCTAGGGTTTTGTTCGGTAAACTGTAGAGAAACATAAACAGCGGAATAGTCTGTCCTGCTAAATCAATGCGTTGATAACTTAATATGGTGGGAGGTCCTTCTTGGTGAAGCGGAGGGTGTCATTTATGTATCTTATTAAAACAAGAACATAAGACCATGTGCATCTCTGGCGCTTAGGGAGAGTTTTAGAGGAGGGGGTCCACCAAAAAGCAAAAAACCAGCGTTTGTAACTCACCTGTAAGCGTCGAATTCTGGCTGATTCTTGGTATGTTCCGCGGGCCCCACGACACGTGGCGGCCCGCGATTGGTCCTTATTATAATTTTTTTTTTTCAGTCCGAAAAAAAAATTAAAAAAGAAAAAAAAAAAAAAACTAAGCACCCTTGGGATGCACATGCTCTAAGAGCAACAACATCAGTAGGACTTTTGACTGCGTCCTTAACATATTTAATGAATATATTGATGTTTAGGACAAATATAAGGACTTTGGAAATTTAGAAGATTATTGAAAGGACTTATTATTGAGTCCTTATAATTTATTTTATTTTTTTTTAAATAAAACATATAACATTAAAATAGAAAACACAAACATTTTAACATATAACATTCAAAGATAATAAACATTACAAAGTTGCAAACATCCAAAATCACACCAACAAAGTAAACATGAGCCATGAGTCATGAGATAGAAACATCAGAGTAATACATCCTTGAAGCCAAAACAACAACCATCACCACATAGTAATACACACATACAAACAACCACCAAATTATCCACTCTTTCTGCTCAACCAGTCATTCAGTAATTGACGGCACTCTTCGCTTTCAGGACAAACACACAACAGAGGAGCAGTTTTGCCATCTCCAACAACATTGAAGACCACTAAGCAACCAATGTCGTATCTGTTATCACAACAGAACTTCGTCCACCCTCCTCTGATATAATACATGCTCTTTGATTCGCAAAAAAGTAAATTCGCAATCCATGAGTTTCCCTCCTTGTTCACTAGTATCACCTCCTGGCATTGTTTGTTCAACACACTACATTGCTGCGTAGCCGCAGGAAACAGCTGCAAACACATAACAACTAAAAATTAGTCTTTGTTAAGTTTTGAAATAAACACACATAGACCAATAACTACTTACAAATATGTCTTCTTCTAGGTTCTTATCCGTGACCTCAACCAAGAAACAATACTCAAATGAGATAAAATCATCCCTTGCTCCTGATCCTCCTGATCCATAAGACAAAAGAATTAGGAATCAAAAGAGGACAGTGAGTTTTCATTGGAACTTACTAATCTCACCTGCAGCAGCAGCATGTGAGGAGGCTTCGGCCTTGATCAAGGGAGGACAAGTATAGATAATCTCACAGCAGCTAGGACCCATCGGAGTTACATGAAAGACCATGTGTCTTTCTTTTTTGAAGATGACGATGTCACCGACGCGAAGATCATGTGCTTTGGCGAATGTTTCCCAACCTCTGGTGAGTCTCGTCCCTTCTTGTATCACCTCCCAAGTCTTATCGGAAGCGTCCGATCTTAATTTCCATGATGTCTTGTTCATTTTCCCTTCTAAGTGATTTGCGAAGAAGGTAAGTGGTATGTCCTGAATTCAGAGAAGAGAACGTTAAGCACAACTAAACATTACACATATACAGCGGAAAATAGGGAGAATGTGTCTGTACCAAGCCAGTGTGGAAACCATGGAGTATGGGCTTTACAAAATGAGGTTCATGCGGAGCTAACCGAAGAGACATCTACAAACAATAAATGAATGAAAGAGGTAATAAGTTAGTAGCATAGAGACAATAAAAAATAGACTTAACAGAAACTAAAACCAGAGTCCAATCAGACTTAAAATGAACACACATCATCTTAAAATGAACACACATCATCTTGCAGTGTCTACGACAATTCTAGCTAAAGCATTAGCTACGTTTTGATGTATCAATACGAACATGGAGATAAACAACATTGATGTATCAATACGAACATGGAGATAAACACTTCTTCATTTATTCGATCTCTAATCTACGTTTTGATGTATCAATAGAACATGGAGATAAACAACAAGAACTCATTATTGAATTTATTATCAAACTTACTACAAGAACGACTCAGCTCAAAATATTTAAAACACAAATCAATACAATATAAAACATTGAATCACAAACGACATTCATTCAATCACATCATGCAAATTAATTACACAAGTCAAAACTGGATGTGGTTGCTCAAAGACCATGAATATGACGACAATATCGCAAAGCTATGGACTGAGGAAGAATTACCTTTTTGAGGGATCCTTTCACCGTGGGAATCGCCGAGAAAATTTGGAACTCGAAAGAGAGAGAGTCTGGAGAAGCCTGTAATCAATTACAAATGAATTACACAAGTGAATCGAAAGAGAGACAGCACCTTTTCGGTTTTCGAAAATATCTCTATTCGGGAACACATGCAAATCGAGAGAGAGACATCACCTTTTTGGTGGAAATAGACGGAGAATCTCCCCGTGAGACAGCTGATCGGTGTCGAGGGAGTCGACGGAACCGTTCACCGAGTGAATCACCGAGCCAATCTGAAAATCGAGAGAGAGAGATAGAAGCTTCTAACCGTCGCCGTAGAGAGAATCGGGAACAAACACAAATGAATTTCAACAGTCAGAACGACGAACCCCTTTCCCGTATGGAGCGGTTCAATGGCAACGAGGCACGTGGCGGTAAAGACGGGAGAAGAAAAGTTCTTATCTTGGGACATCCAGTTTCGTCCCTCACATAATTAGGCCTTTTTTATTTATTTTTGGGCCTAAAATACCCAAGATACGGCCAGAAGGACACCGATAATTGTGCTCTAATATATAACTAACCTTTCTCCACAATACTGTTTACTGTTTGTGCTATTAAAAATTTAATTATAATGTTGTAAAATAAATTTTTATTTTATTTAATAAAAAACATCTAACTAACCAATAATGATTTTAAGTCTAGACAAAATATCTTCGTCCAAATCACCGAATCAAAACCCGACTCAAAAAGTTATACCAAATAAGAAAATAAACATCCGTACTGAAATATTTACATGAACTATAATTATATAGTGGAAACACCGTAGTCTATTGGTTAAGGTTTAAAGATTTCTACACTAGGTGAATGGCGAATTATACATATCAGAGAATCTAATATCCTTGAAATGTAAGAAAATTACGATCAAAATACATGAAATATCGAAATTATCCTCAAAATTTGTTTGTTGGATGTAATGTGTACCATCGTGATACCTGGACTTCCTTTCCTTTGGTGAAGGAAACTTTTTAGAAACTTTGAGGATCATACTTATAGGACATATCTTAAAATGGATGAGTTATGATCTGCAGGACCAGTCAACCATAGAAAACGAACAAGCAGGTAGTAAAAGTAAATCCAGAACACTAGTTGCAGCATGTTGTAAACACTCTGAAACCCCAACGGTGAATAGAGAGGGGTATGATCATACATCAATTAGTTAAGCATTTCCAAGTTCCATATATTAAAAAGAATAACAAATATCTAGTTTTCAGCGTATTAAAATAACATCAGCTGTTGCCCAAAAAAAAAAAAAAAAAACATAACATCAGCCATCACAAAATCTTTTACCTGAAAATCATGGTAAAGCTGTGTGTTCTGATCTCATAAAAAACATGCCAACCGATGTTCTCAGTTATCCAAAGTAAGATATATGGTTTCATGCTAAACCTGGAAAGCAACAATGGGAGATGTGCTGAGGACTGTCACACGATTCTCTCTAGAGAACCTCCAAATATTGAGCTCGTCGTCTTCTCTTCCTGTATGTACTCCATATTTATAAGCGTATGTCATATACCCCGTGTTGGTGAAAACAATCGAGTTCCCGCTCAGACCACAACCATCAGGAAGCTCCTTAGCCGAGCAGCAGAAATTTCCAGAGTCTCTAATAAACAACACACGGTCTCCCAAATCGGTGATCTCAACCCATTTATCAGCTTCATTGTCTAACCTACTCACTCTACAAGTGAACCGGTTAAAATTCAGTACCTCAGCTCCAGGAAACGGGTTGAACTTCTCAACAAGTAAAAGTTCATCATCACCCGCTTGAACCAGGTATTTGCTTGACCTCAGAGGCGGGGATGGCGAGAAGGGAGTCCGTTTCAGTGTATAAGGATCGAAAATAAAGAAGTCCCCGTTGATAAAGGTTGCATAAAACCTGCCTCTGAAGGCGAGTAAATGGCAGCATTGAGCATTAGAGGTTTCCGTAAGGCACATCCACCTCATTTCAGAGCTTCTTAACACTAACAAATCCATAGAGTAATTGAGGAGGATGACAAATTCTTCTCCCTCTTTGTTTAGAGGAAGAAACGCCACGCCTTTGTACTTTGTTGACCATGATTCAGCATCCCAACCGATGATTCTGTACTGGTGACCGAGAGGGAAGACCTGGGTGTTGTGTATGTTCATCACAGTTGGATCAGAATCATCAGATCCTGGGATCTTTACTGAGCATTGAATAGGAGACTGAAGCTCCATATGATCTCCAGACTCATCTCGGCCTACTCCTCCCAAGAAATACTCTGTTGCTGAAGAAGAAGCAGCAGCAGGAAGAGTTTGGACTCTAAAGAGAAACATGGGGACTTTCTCGAGAGTGCACAGGCCTGTACTTACGTAAGGGAAATCGCCAAACGCAGGTAAAGAGTAACTTGGGCGTAACAGGGAATCAGGAAAGGGAAATGTGGATCGCCACGAGGTGCAAACAGAGCGAGCATGAATGATATTGAAACAGTTCTCTAGTTTCTCTGTGATGATGTGAAGTAGCTCTTCAGGGAGCTGAGTCCAGTCTGGCTGAAAGATATTTACAGTTATAGGAGTTAGGAAACAGTAGACAGAGACATAAATGAACAAACGAGACTGATCTTCTATCTATCAAACAGACTCGGGCAAAACTAATAACAAGTCTCAGTTTCAGTCTGAAAGTGAAGACAAGACACTCTTACTTGAGAGAGAACACAGGAAAAATGAAATTATTCAACACACGTTCACAGTCCACCATCAGATTAAAGAATGAAGGTGAAAACCTTAGCATTAATCTACAAACCCATCATGAAAAAAAAGAACACACAAGGTTTCTCTATGAACATAATAACAATTACTACAGTCCATAGCCGACATATTAGGACAAGAACAAAAAAAAAACATGCAATACCTCTAAGGTTTGGTTTCAATAATGTGACAGAATTGATTAAAAACTATTTTTTGTAGGATGGATTCAAACAGAGGGTAAAAGGGTTCGTACATAACCGGAACAGTCTAGGAGCATCTTCTTCTTCTCCTCCCTTGCAGGCTCTTTCATTTTCAGAGACCGCTGAGATTTCACAACCTGAAAGAAAATAAAGATTTATGAAACATTAACAGATCCAATATGAGAATTCCATTTCTTTCGATAATATTTGATTAAGGATGTGGAGTATGTACCCTTCTTCTCTTTCTCGGTGCCATGTTTGCTGATGGCTGCCACCATTTCCGATTTCTATTAATAGGGTTTAATAAAACCATCGCCCAAGTAACCTAAGGGTGAGAAACCTTCTAGGTGAGGTGGAGGATATAATAGATTGTACTATTACTAATTTTACTTTAAAAAGTACAAAAATATTACAAAATATTGAATTACTTGTACAAACTACTATATAAAATTATAATTACTTAATATTTTAATCAAACAATTACATAGGATCAATACAGAGCTAATTAATGTAATGTTTGATTTGATGCAAACTCAAATCGAAATGATGATGTACAACCATCACACTAGACATAGAATACCCATGTCTTGTGTATGCAGACTATTTGTTTGGTAGATGGATTTTGGATTGTGAATCACATTGAGTCCTTATGGTTGGATATGGGTAGATGACAGAAAGAAATGAACAACTCATGGGAATGAGAAACAAAGAGAGATGATTGTCCCATGTACACTCAAAATTGGATGCTCTCTATGATCAATGGAGAATATGGTTCAATATATAACATGTCATCACTTCACAACTAACTGCAAGAAGTTACTTTCGATGATGATCAAGGACCCGACAGCATGGCCAGGCTCTTCAATGCAACTTCCAAAACTAGCAACTTTTCAAGAATGTGTCCAAGATTTCAAGATTATTCACGTTTCAAGAACACAAATTAAGACAGCTGATTCATTAGTCAGGACTGAACGAGCTTTTCATTATTGGCAAAAAAAATCAAACAATTATATCCAAATTATCTGATATTTTATCAGAATAATTCAAAATATCTAAAACTGTTTTGAACATTTTGCATCTGAATTCTTTTTGGATATTCTACTGCTTTTATTCAAATTCTTTTTGGATATCAGCCAATCTCTACTGTTTTTATCAGAACATAACAAAAAACCAAAAGAACTGAACCTGAAATTCACAAATGCATGAACGGTTCTTATATTGTATTCCCAAAAGAATCGAAAAAAAAAAATCAATCTGAAACAAAATGTAAAACCTTAATATCTAGGCCTATTAAAAGGTGCAGCAGAGCCAGACAAGGCTACAGGAGTTCACGAGACAAACTTTTTTCATTAAGACAACATAGTTTCAAGATAACACTAAAAACTAGAATATCATCAAATATCAGAATATCACAGGGGAAATACTAAAAACAAAGCCAACACATCTCAGATAAAACCAAAGTGAGATTTCACGGCTCAGCGTGCTCCATCCTCAGAGCCACCATTGGAGACTTGTTGAGGATCGTCACACGAGTCTCTCTCGAGCATCTCCAAACATTCAAGTCGTCTTCAGGGTTTCCTGTATCAACTCCATATTTATAAGGGAAAGTTTCATCAAATATCTCATTGATAAACAATATTGAGCTCCCACTTAAACCACAGCCATCAGGAAGCTCCTTAGCTGAACAAGAACAGTTTCCAGAGCTTTTCCCAGGTTGTCCAATAAACAAGACACGATCCCCCAAATCACTGACCACGATCCATTCACCAGCCTCTTCATCCAACACACTCACTCTACACGCTGACTTGGTAAAACTCAAAACACGATCGCGAGAAATGATTCTCTCAACGAGGTAAAGCTCATCATCACCATATGGAACTAGGTAATTGTGTCTTACACAGCCCGGAATCACCGGTGGCCTCAGTGGTTTCGTTTCTAGAGTATACGGATCGATAGCGAATACGTCGCCGTTGATAAAGACTGCGTAGAATTTGCCTCTGAAAGTGACGATATCACTGCAATCAGCTCTGGAGCAGCCGTCAAGCTCCGTCCAACTCATTTCGGTACTTCTTAACGCCAATATATGATGAGCGTAGCCGATAAGGACAATGAACTCTCGCCCTTCCTCCTTGTTTATACGAAGAAAGGCCACGGCTCTGTAACTTGTATCTAATGAATCAGGATCGTAACCGACCATTCTGCACGTATAGCCCAGAAGGATAATCTGACAGTCAGCAACGTTTAAATAAGTTGGAGTAGATCCTGGGATCTTCACTGAGCACTGAATAGGAGATGGAAGCTCCACATTGTCATCTGAGTTTGTATCTGGTCCTATTCCTCCAATGAAAAACTCAGAAGGCAACGTGTCACGACCACGGACTCTGAAGAGGAAGACAGGGAACTTCTCGAGGGAGCAATTTCCATTTACTCTGCGAGGGTACCTGTTGAAAGAGGGAAGAGAATAGATTGTGTGTAGTAGTAGCCAAGTAGGACAAGGGAAGATGGATCTCCACTGGCGGCAAACAGATCGGGCATGGATAAAATCGAAACAGTCTTGTAAGTGTAGCTTTGAGGAGATAATGTGGAGTAGCTCATCAGGGAGAAAGGACCAGTCTGATGATGTGTTGTGCTCTTTCGAAGACAGATGCAGTTTTGAAACCTGCAAAAGAAGATTCACACAATCTTGAGAAGCAATTTAAAGTCTATAATTGGTTCAAATCATTGTTTCACACCAAACTACAATAAGTCCCACATGTTTAAAGAAAAACATTTCTTACACTGTCTGAGAGAAGAGACGACTCGGACAACACTGATGGTGGCTTTTTCTCCGTAGCAGGTTCTGTCGTTTTCGCTGCCTGAAATATAAAAGTTAGAATGTTTAATAAGAGGGGGGGGAGGAGTGTGTACCCAAACCATGTTTGATGTCTCCTTTCTCGGTGCCATGTTTGCTGATTCCGAAATCTGTAAGGCATATTGAAGTTTCTTTTGGTTTAGGATTATGTAAAGCAAACATGAATGATTAAACAAGTACTAGATCAGTCTACAAGAAACAGAGAATCGAATCTGACATTCGATTTGGTACCGAAGAAACTGGATTAGATGTTCAGAGCTCTATAACCGTAGCCTCCTCCTTTTTAAGTATGGTCGGACCGTATGTCTCACGTGCTTAGACAAAAGTTGTTGGCGAAAGGATGAATGAACCGTGTTATTAGTTTATATATTTATACTTATACTTTATTTGAGAAATAATTTTTTTTAGTTGTCTACTTCTCCTATATAATTTTTTATTTTTCATGTTTAAATAATTTTTTATATATTTTATTCTATAACAAAAATAAATAATATATGAGAAGTAAATTTGTTTAGTTGTCAACTTCACCATGATTTTAGATAATTACTTATTTTCATGTTTTGATAATTTCATATATATTTTATTCTATCATAAAAAATAATTGAAATAAATAATATTACATTTTTAGATAACAAGTTAATAAATTTTACTAGATTATTTTCTTGAAAATATATTTTTGTATTGTAAAATTTAAGTGAATTTGCTGACTGGTTTGTAACATATCCGTTATTTAAGTAATTTTGTTTATTTGTCATGTTTTTAATAATTGCAACTATAATTTATTCCATAATAAAACAGATTTATATTAATACTACTATATTTTTAGTAAATAAAATAATTCTTATGTACTATATTGTTATCATGAAAATATATTTCTTATATTACAAAATTAAAAATTAAGATATAAAAAACTATCTATACTATTATTTGAGAAGTAAATTTAATTAGCTCTCATGTTCTCCATGGTTTTATGTAGTTTTGTTTATTTGTCATATTTTTATGATTCTGGAAAATTATTAATCTTAATGAATAATTAGATTTATTATTATATAATTAATTATAAATTAAAAATGAAGTAATATACAATTAACCTTTAATTTTAAAAAATATTGATTGGATGATTATCATTATCTAAACACAGTTTATACTAATTAACCATAAATTAAAATATATAATGCTTAATTTTAGTTTAGTTTCACTAATTTGATAATTATTATTATCTAAAAATAATTTATATTATGTTATAAAATCTTTATTAACCTTAATGGACAATTATATTTTTTCAATATATAAGTAACTGTAAATGAAAAATAAATTTCATTAATTTGATAATCATGTATAAAAGTAGTCTATATTGTGTTATTTTAAAAAACAAATTTACATTAGATTTATATAAAAAGTTTCATTTAAAAAAGATAATTACCTATATATATTTTGTATAATATGATGCATATATTAATGTTTCCAAATTTATTTTTCCCGATAAAAGATATTTTATTATATTCAAAAACTTTTTCATATGTAAAAAATTGAATATTTAATTTATTACTAAATATTTCAAAAGCATTAGTGTGTTTAAGTGTTTGTTATGTGATAAAATATATTTATATTACGATAAAAACTTGTATATATAAATATTTTATTGTTTAATTTTTAATAAATATTTTCAATATATGAACATTAATATATTTGAATTTTAGTACAACTGATAATGTATTTAATTTAAAATATTTGTTAAATTATTATGTCCGTACGTGCGGGTAAAACATCTAGTTTTAACTAATTTGGAAATCCATATAATGTTTATCAATTCAAATCCATTATGAAATAAAATTTAATTATTAAATCCATATAATTAAATAATATATTATTATAATTAAAATTTATAAACTTTAACCAATAACACTAATTTAATAGTATGGATTTCCAAATTCCGTAAAATATATTAACCATTAACCCTCATTTAGATATTTTGTTTGGATCGACACTAGTCCATCAGCATCTACATTTTGTATCATGGTGTAAAAAATCGGTAATTATATTTAGATATTTGAGAAGCAAAAAATTATTGAATTTAGATGCAACATCTTCATGTCGAAATTGTTTTTTTTCCCACCAACCCCTCCTCCCCATCTAAATTAAAATTTTCCGTCAAAAACTCCAAATTAAAATTTCCCGCCAAAACCACAAATTGAGTTCACTCCAAACCACAAAATAGATTTTTCCACCAGAATTAAAAAATCTAGCTTTTCCACAAAACCGCAGAACCAATTTTTCCTATTAAAATCGCATAACTGTGTTTCAAAACCGTGAACTCATTTTTTTATTCTTAAAATACAAATTGGGGGAGGGGGGTTTCTCTAAAAATACAAAAGTGTTATTGAATTTTTTTTCACAATCACAACATCAATTTTTGTCAAAATAATCATGTTTCTTGTCAAAAACGCAAAAAAATGGGGGGGGGGAGGGTTTTATCAAAATGCCACAATCGGATTTTTCGTCAAAATGTTAAACTTAGGATTTCTGTCAAAAATCACAAAGTTGTATCTTATTTTGTTACAAAAATAATGTTAAATGTATTTACTCGAATAATATAATTAGTTTATTATTAATGATATAGATTATGACGTTTTAGTCTTTTTTACTAGTAGTATTCAACTGCAACTATGAAAAACAACTTATTATTTATATGTTGCATTTGAATGCAACATGCAGATGTTGCATTTAGATGCTGCATCAAATACAAAAACGAAAAATGCCTTAGGCCATTTTTTTTTTCTGGTATCCAGAATTTGTATCTGAATGTAAATTGATGTTGTTTGTTTGGAAACTCTTAGATCATCATTTATATGTTGTATATATGGAAATCAATATTATCTATAATATTTAGATATTAGAAATACAAAAAGTGTAGAAGTTTGATTCAACATTTCTATTTTGCTATATATTACTTAATAAAAATAAAATTTAATTAGATTAGTTTTTTTAATTATTATACAGTATTTTCAAAAATTGAGCTTACACCAATACTGTAAAATAAGGTTTGCCATCAAAACCACAAACTTACATTTTTACACCAAAACCCACAAAACTGTGTTTTTTCGCCCAAATCGTAAAATTATATTTTCCGCCAATATTTTAAATTTTTATTTTCCCACAAAAACCACATAATTAAGTTTAATCACAAAAATTGAATTCTTAGAAAAACCGCATATTTGAATTTTCACGCCACAATGGCAAAATGGTGTTTTCCCGCCTCAAATTCATATTTTCGCCAAAATCGTGAATTTGAGTTTTTCCTCAAAAACCAAAAAATAAAGTTTTCCATTAAAACTACGAAAGTGAGTTTTCCCGCTAGATCTTTAAAAATGAGGTTTCTCGCCAAAATAAAAAAATTGAGTTTTTTTTTGTCAAAATCACTAAATCAATTTTCTCCTAAAACTGAGAAAATGAAGTTATCATACCTAAACTGCATAATTGTGTTTTTCTATCAAAACCGCCAAAAATATTTCGTAAAACTCCGAAATTAGTGTTTTCTCCAAATTGTAAAATCATATTTTCTGGCAAAATTCTATAATCATATTTTTCAAAATGAAAAAATATGTTTTCTGTCACAATAATAAAATTAGTTTTTACTTAAAATGACAAAATCTGATTTTTTTTTTGTCAAATGACAAAATAGGTTTTTCGTCGAAATCGAAAAATCATATTTTATTTTGTTACAAATATAGTTTAGATATATTTTTATCTAAATATTATAATATGTTCATGATTAATACTATGAATCATGTCGTTTTGGTCCTTTTAACAACTAATATTCAAATGCTATTACAAAATAAGAAAACGGACAAGTTAAATATTTAGATGCAAATACTAACTATAAACTGAATAAGGTTTGGATGCAACATCCAAGTATTGTATTCAGATACTACATCTAGATGCTGCATCATATACAAAAACGAACATGGTCTTAATAAAAAACACTACCCGTAGACGGTTTTTCTTTTGTTTCCTTTTTCTCTTTTTTGTTCCGAGATTGAAAATCAAATTTTCGTGTATTGTAAGTTAGTTAACATGGCGGGAATATTTCTCTTATATATTTCCATTTTGGGTCTATCCGTGTGGGGTTCCTTGCATTTTTTTATTTTACTCGTACTTGTCTTTTACTATGATTTAGGTTACTTGTAACAGAACTCTCGCTTAAAATAATCTATTGTCCGACTTTCGCAGAATCGGATATTCTTGAGGGGGTCGACTCTTTTACTACAATACAAGTAGATTACAAAATAATGTAGTTTATTTTGACGTTACTTTCAGTGAAGTTGCCATCACAATTTCACTATATTTTCATATAGAAATTTAAATCTTACTTAAATAAATTATAAGTCGTCTCCTACAGAACTATAAACCTTAAAATAATAAGCAATTTGGATTAGACGTGTTTACTAACTTTGAATTTGTATTTGTTTCCTATTTTTATCATACTTGATGGTTGTTGGGATTTAGTCTTGATGCCAAATTAAATAAAAAATCAATAGCTTCTCAAAACATTACTATATAAAGACAGCATTATTCATAGTTCATACTTGAACACATTTCAAATGAAAAGTAAGAGACTACTCTTCTTCGTTTTGTTCTTTTTATCCTTGTTGGTGGGGCTCATCAGAGCACAGAACAACAGAAGAACCGAAGTCCATGTTGGTATCGTAGCAGATGTCGGAACCAGTTACTCGGACGGTGCCATGCTTTGTGTCAACTTGTCTCTCGCCGATTTTTATTCTTCTCGTCCCCACTTCCAGACAAGGCTTGTCGTCAACATCGGTGACTCCAGAGAAGATGTCGTCGGTGCTGCAGCTGCAAGTAACATCTCTCTCTATCTATATACTGTATACATTTGCATGTATACGTATTATTGGATTTAAATTAATATGATTCTGTTTCAAAATGATGGATGTTTTAGATTTTCACACATACAAATAAAATATATAAAAATTTAATATAAATTAATAACTTTTTGTGATTACCTATTTTCCATATCTCTAAATCAATAAGAATTCAGTACTATTGACCAAAAAATGTATTTTATGAAACAACTTTTTCTTCTAAATATGTATCTTGGGAGTAATAATTGTTTGCGTTCATGTGTCTCTCTATAGATATATGTATATTTGATTGTCATTCATATACTTAACCCTAATTTCTTGTTTTTGACATAATAACAGCCATTG